GTACCCTAGGTTATCTGTGATGTCTTGTGTTGTACCTAGGTTATCTGTCATGTCTTGTGTGTGTACCTAAGATATCTGTGATGTCTTGTGTGTGTACCTAGGATATATGATGTCTTGTGTGTGTACCTAGGATATCTGTGATGTCTTGTGTGTGTACCTAGGATATCTGTGTTGTCTTTTGTGTGTACCTAGGATATCTGTGTTGTCTTGTGTGTGCACCTAGGATATCTGTGTTGTCTTGTGTGTGTGCATAGGTTATCTGTGATGTCTTGTGTGTGTACCTAGGTTATCTGTGTTGTCTTGTGTGTGTACCTAGGTTATCTGTGATGTCTTGTGTGTGTACCTAGGTTATCTGTGTTGTCTTATTATTATTACCTTAGGTTATCTGTGATGTCTTGTGTGTGTACCTAGGTTATCTGTGATGTCTTGTGTGTACCTAGGTTATCTGTCATGTCTTGTGTGTCTACCTAAGATATCTGTGATGTCTTGTGTGTGTACCTAGGATATATGATGTCTTGTGTGTGCACCTAGGATATCTGTGATGTCTTGTGTGTGTACCTAGGTTATCTGTGATGTCTTGTGTGTGTACCTAGGTTATCTGTGATGTCTTGTGTGTGTACCTAGGTTATCTGTGATGTCTTGAGTGTGTACCTAGGTTATCTGTGATGTCTTGTGTGTGTACCTAGGATATCTGTGTTGTCTTTTGTGTGTACCTAGGATATCTGTGTTGTCTTGTGTGTGTACCTAGGATATCTGTGTTGTCTTGTGTGTGTGCATAGGTTATCTGTGATGTCTTGTGTGTGTACCTAGGATATCTGTGTTGTCTTGTGTGTGTGCATAGGTTATCTGTGATGTCTTGTGTGTGTACCTAGGTTATCTGTGTTGTCTTGTGTGTCTACCTCAGGTTATCTGTGATGTCTTGTGTGTGTACCTAGGATATCTGTGTTGTCTTGTGTGTGTGCATAGGTTATCTGTGATGTCTTGTGTGTGTACCTAGGTTATCTGTGTTGTCTTGTGTGTACCCTAGGTTATCTGTGATGTCTTGTGTGTGTACCTAGGTTATCTGTGTTGTCTTGTGTGTGTACCTAGGTTATCTGTGATGTCTTGTGTGTGTACCTAGGTTATCTGTGATGTCTTGTGTGTACCTAGGTTATCTGTCATGTCTTGTGTTTGTACCTAAGATATCTGTGATGTCTTGTGTGTGTACCTAGGATATATGATGTCTTGTGTGTGTACCTAGGATATCTGTGATGTCTTGTGTGTGTACCTAGGTTATCTGTGATGTCTTGTGTGTGTACCTAGGTTATCTGTGATGTCTTGTGTGTGTACCTAGGTTATCTGTGATGTCTTGAGTGTGTACCTAGGTTATCTGTGATGTCTTGTGTGTGTACATAGGTTATCTGTGATGTCTTGTGTGTGTACCTAGGATATCTGTGATGTCTTGTGTGTATTGTCACCAGTATAATTTAACTGTAAATTTAGATAAAACTAAAGTGGTTGTCTTTAAAAACGGCGGTGTTCTTTTGAGGGGCGAAAAATGGTATTTTGATGGCAACCTTATTGAATGTGTCTCATCTTATAGATATTTAGGTGTGGTATTTTTTAGGAATCTAACTTGGAATACGCAGTTTATTAGTTCATCGTTGCAATCTAGAAAAGCATTATTTTGTGTTTTAAAATGTCTGTCGAAGCTTAGACCATTACCATAAGATGTTTTCTTTAAGGTTTCTGATAGTAAAGTGATGTCAATTTTCTTGTATGGTTCTTAAATATGAGGACTAGACTTTGATTTTGAATGTTAGATTAGCAGTGTTATTGAAGGAGTTCATGTTCAAGCATGTAAATATTTTCTTGGTGTGAAAACGTCAACTTCAAACCATGTTGTTTGTGGTGAGTGTGGGAGATACCCGGTATATATCTTTGCTTATAAGTGTTGTATAAAATATTGGTATAAACTGCTATCCATGCCAAACTCACGCTTGCCCAAGAAATGTTATAACATGTTTATATTAGATATGAGTCATGGTAAATGTAATTGGACTTCAAAACTGATAAATATGTAATTTTCTGACAAGAATTGATATTTTATAGTTATCCTGACTCATGCTAATTATGCTTGTCTCCTTCCTCTTGCGAATGATAGTGGAACACTTGAAATCCCTTGAAGTTCCCTTTTTAAAAAGCGGACGTAAAATCACTCACCCATGAGTAGTCTCCCTTTCTTCCATTTGTCGCCCTTTTTGGTCACATGACCAGCCATGTTTGTCACTCTCTCCGTATGTATGCCCGACGGCATGATTTACAGGGAAATCCGGAGTGCCATAAGAGGGGAGGTTGGGAGGGCTAACCTGATGAGTCAGGATAAGTATAAAATATCAATTTTAGTCAGAAAATTACATATTTTTCCTTATCCTTACTCATACTAATTATGCTTGCAGAATCCTTCCGAAATGGTGGTGGGTCAGGCCACGTTCTGGATTCACTAGTTGATGATTTACGTCCTGTATTACCCCCCATGGGAACTTATGACAGCACTGTTTAAGATTCTGTTCTTCAACTTCTCTAATGAGTCTGGGGACCACAACTTGTCAGATTTCTTCGAAACTTCTCCTGACATTTTCTTATTATCTGGATTTTAGGATATACTACTATTCCATTAGTTATCTATTGCACTCCATCTCTTGATGCGCATCAAGTGGAGATCGCGACCCTTCTTCATACACAAGTATCTCCTATACAATACAGGGTCTATCACTCATGCTAGTCTGTCCTAGACGTGGTGCATTGACTTACAGCCATTGCTCTCAGAGCGTTGGTTTCACAAGTCACGTGATAAAGGGGTGAGATTTACTCAGCCTTTTGGACTCAAGTAGTTGTTGTTTTACAACAAGTGGCCCAAACTGGTGAATGCCTAGAGAGCGCCTTCGGTGGCAATGTCTCTGAGGTGGTGGTGGCAAACACCGTGTTCGATCTCAAAAGCAGCCCTCCATTATAGTTGTGATCGAAAGCAGTTTCCATGCAGAAACAAGTGTTGACCAGGCTCTGACCGCGGTGGGTTGGAGGCTTGTGGAGCTCAAGTCCCGCTGCTTTGATAGGCCCTTAGTATAACGGCTCTCATCCAGATCGATATCGTTGTCCGCGAGACTTCCGGTGCCGCCTCAGCGGATAAGGGGATGAATAGGCGCTTGAATTTTCGTCTCCTTGTTTTAGTTCTCTGTAAGTAGACTTTAAGTGCTCTGGGGCGGTGTGGTAGCCTATTGGTTAAAGTGTTGGCTCATCACTCCAAAGACCCGGGTTCGAATGCCCACATGGGTACAATGTATGAAGCCCATATCTGGTGTCCCCCGACGTGATGTTGCTGGAATATTGCTAAAAGTGGCGTAAAACCAAACTCAGTCAGTTAAGTGCTCTGACTGGGCATAACGACAGATCCTGCGTATCCTGTGGCCCAAGGACTGTAGAAAGTGGAACTGTCTGTCAGGCTGACCGGGCAGTTGTTTCTTTGCGATAAAATCCCATCTCAGTCGTCGTACAAGTTGCGAGTTGATCTGCGTAGAGCTAGTGTAACTCCTTTCGCTGTTCTGGCGGAGTACCCTCTGGTCTTCAGGCAAGCTTTAATATGCTCCACGCGTGTAGCTGGAACAGTGTCGGGTTCCCGTGAGCTTGCTTGGTGTGTGGATGGACGAGTAGGTTCGACCATTCTGGTAGTTTCAGGGTTGGACTTCCGAGGAGTTCTTGTATGAGGACGGGAGACCATACCCTCGCTGGCCAATAGGGCGTGACCAAAATCAGTTGCAACGTAGTCGTCTGCTTGATTTTCTGTAGTACTTGTGGTAGCAGTGCAGGAGGTGGAAACGCGTCAACGTTTAGTCCTTCCCATGAGATGCTTTGAGCATCTGTTGCCCATGCCTGAGGATCTGGAATCGGTGAGACGCAATGCTGGTAGCTGTTTGTTGAACTTTGTTGCAAACAGGTCTATTAGTGGGGATCCTATAGTCTGTATGATGAACTGGAATGCTTCTGGATGCAACATCCATTCCGTCGGGGATGGTTGTAGTGGACGACTTAGGGCGTCTGCTATGACATTCTTTGCTCCCGGAATGTGGCATGCCTTCATGTAGATGTTCAGGTCGTCGACTATGCTGAACAGGAGAAAGCTGAGTTGTAGCAGACTTGTTGATCTTGTTGATCCTTGTTTGTTGATGTAAATCGCCACTGTGGAGTTGTCCGTGTGTATCATCATAACCTCCCTTGAGTCGTGAGAGAATTCTCTGGCGACTTCTTCAATTCCTCCTCCGAAGATGTAAGATGCTGACCATGGGGCTCTGTATAAGGACTTGGTGAAGCGTTCACTCCAAGTGCATGTTGACAATAACCCTTGTCTTCTCAGGAGAGTCAAGCCTGCTGATGTGGATGCTAGGTGCTCCGACATAAACTGATGGTCCCTCTTCTGCATTAGTAGAGCGGAGTATATCATCCGGTCTTCTTCGGACGAGAGTTCTTGAACTTCGAGATGAGTGTTTCGCTAATAGCCCTCGATCTGGCTAATCCAAGCAGGAATACGCCTGGTGGTTGTATCCAGCTGCGCCAACTTCTTATCCTCAATCTTGTAAGTTCTCTGACAGGAGTCGGTGATAATCTTGTAGTCATCATCAACCTCTGGAGACTTCAGGAAGGGTTCCATCCTATGTAGAGGGAATTTCATGGCGTTGAACGCCGGGATGTGCTGATTCTGAGACTTGGTGGCTTTATCAAAAGCCGCGCTGAGGTTGTCTGAGTACCAATTTGTGAGAGATTGGGTTGCGATGGGTGGAAAGGTGAGCATCTTCAAATCATCGTTGGACATCTTGTAGGTAGCCGCCTCATCTGTGTCCTTAGAAAGGTGATGCTAAGGCCAGCCACTGTGATCCAGGAGTTAACTTCTGTATGGAGAATATGCATTCACCTTCTTCCTCTGATTTGGACATCTTCACTCTATGGATCCCTAATGACTTGAGTCTCTATGGGATGATCTGTATGATGAGCTTCAGGCCAGGCGCGACGATCGATGCGATACGATGTATCCTTTCTGGAGTCTTGAGATAATTCTCTAGGTTTTCGTGAAAGGTGGGTTTCTGGGCCGTAGCTTCCCCTCTGTAGGAGTGCCTCAGCGCAGGTTCTCGATAGTCAGAGTCCGATTGAGATGAAGACACATATCTGGCGACGTCTGTAGGGTTCAGGAGAACACCTCGATTTCTTCCTGAAGACTCTCTTAGCAGCAATCTCTGGAGCCGTCTCACGGCTGAACTGGCGTTGTTGCGGTGTCCAGACTCCTCACTTCAGATGGGGAATATAAATACCGTGTCCGTGAGCCTTGGCGCGCAGGCTTCCCTCTTCATCTGGATGCGGTTGAGACTGTAGAACCTTCACGCAGGCTAGTAGTCGTTGTAGAGGTCTTCATAGCAGCCTTCTCCTGAGCGAAGCAACGTTCCATCATCGACATCATCTGGTCTGTAAACTGTTGAAGTTCTGCGTTGTCTGAAGGGATTGCTGCAGGGATGATGCATCTGATACTGAAGAGACGTCATCTAAGGCTCGCTGCACTTGTGAAGAGTTGGCGCTGCTGCTATCTCTGATACCCGATGTCTGGCGTTGATAGAAGGTCTTCTGTCAATGTCTGTGCTGATAACGATGCCGATGTAGCTGTAGTAGCAGGCTTCGTCTTCTTACTGATGATGGTGACTTCAGGTATGAGGATGGGTGGATCATCATAAACATCTGCTTCTTCCGGAGGAGGAACAATCTTGCTTGAGAAAGACCTCTTCTTCTGCGTAGAGCTGAGCATAGACTTCGATGAAGTCTTCATGGTAGTAGCCTTCTTCTTCGCGTAAGATGATGATTTAGCCTTCTTCATCTGTGACGAGGTCAGCCTCCAAGCGTTCATTACTGGTACAGCGACCTGCTCGAGAAACGCTTGGCAATTCACTGAATTGTGAATGTCTGCAGCAGTGGTTAACACACTGTTATCAGCACAATCACTCGATTTAGACATGACTTGTGAATACCTTCGTACCCAGTCCCTAGCATGTCTATGGATGGAAAAAAGGTAATTAGTAAATTCAACAGAGATTAAATTCACACAAAACTTATAGCGAGAGCTGAAATAAATGAGGGTCAGCCGCAGACACTCGGTACCTACAACGAATACAGGTTTTCCTCAAATGTAAACATGAAGAAAACACATGTCAAACAACGGAAAATTTAGATCAAATTTCAAACCATAATGTAGAAAATAATCCTAAAACCAGGTATACAGCAATAACTTTGATGTAAGGTCCCAAACAGAAAAGGATATGTGCCGTATAGGGGACCCAGGTGCCTCACTAACCGCCCCTCAAGGGAAGAAGAAGGAGAGTGACAAACATGGCAGGTCATGTGACCAAAAAGGGCTAAAAGGAGGAAAGGGAGAGACTACTGGTGGGTGAGTGATTTTATCGTCCGCTTTTTAGAAGGGAACTTCAAGGGATTTCAAGTGTTCCACTATCATTCATTAAGAGGAAGGAGACAAGCATAATTAGCATGAGTCAGGATAAGGACAAATGTGTTATTTAAAATGGGATTTGGCTTTGTTTGGGATAACCAGTGTATTGATAATATTAAGTCATTTTTATCAGAATTTATGGATAGAGCTAAATCATAGTAAATGTATTTATCAGCAAGTTTGGCAAACATCTTTGTCACAAGGTTCTAAAACGTATAATTATTCTATGTACAAGTTAAACTTATATCCAGAGCATTATATTAAGCATATAACTATTCGGCAATTTCGTGTCGCTTTAGCTAAGTTTAGATGTAGTTCTCACCAACTGAAAATTGAGATGGGTAGATATTCAAATGTTCAAAGAAATAAACGATTTTTTGATGTTTGTAAAATGAACTATGTTGAAGATGAATACCACTTCTTGTTAGTATGCCAGGCTTATGTCGATCTACGTGAACAGTTTATTTCTAGGAATTACTACGTATTTCCAACATTAGCTAAATTTAATCTTATAATGTCAAGTGAGAAGTGATCTTATAAGAAAGTTGGCTATGTATGTTGAGAATTCTATGCAATTAAGAAAAAATCTGTTAATGTAGGCAATATGTAGTGTGGCTGCTGTACAACTGCTGTGTCATGGGCCGATGGCCTACGTCTCTTGCTGAATAAAATACTATTGAATTGACTGCAGTGTCACAGGATGTTTGGGGTGACTGCAGTGTCAGAGGGTGTTTGGGGTGACTGCAGTGTCAGAAGGTGTTTGGGATGACTGCAGTGTCAGAGGGTGTTTGGGGTGACTGCAGTGTCAGAGGGTGTTTGGGGTGACTGCAGTGTCAGAGGGTGTTTGGGGTGACTGCAGTGTCAGAGGGTGTTTGGGGTGACTGCAGTGTCAGAGGGTGTTTGGGATGACTGCAGTGTCAGAGGGTGTTTGGGGTGACTGCAGTGTCAGAGGATGTTTGGGGTGACTGCAGTGTCAGGGGTGTTTGGGGTGACTGCAGTGTCAGAGGATGTTTGGGGTGACTGCAGTGTCAGAGGGTGTTTGGGGATGACTGCAGTGTCAGAGGGTGTTTGGGGTGACTGCAGTGTCAGAGGATGTTTGGGGTGACTGCAGTGTCAGGGGGTGTTTGGGGTGACTGCAGTGTCAGAGGATGTTTGGGGTGACTGCAGTGTCAGAGGGTGTTTGGGGTGACTGCATTGTCAGGGGGTGTTTAGGGTGACTGCTTTGTCAGGGGGTGTTTAGGGTGACTGCATTGTCAGAGGGTGTTTGGGGTGACTGCATTGTCAGAGGGTGTTTGGGGTGACTGCAGTGTCAGAGGGTGTTAGGGGTGACTGCAGTGTCAGAGGGTGTTTGGGGTGACTGCAGTGTCAGAGGGTGTTTGGGGTGACTGCAGTGTCAGAGGGTGTTTGGGGTGACTGCATTGTCAGAGGGTGTTTGGGGTGACTGCAGTGTCAGAGGGTGTTTGGGGTGACTGCAGTGTCAGAGGATGTTTGGGGTGACTGCAGTGTCAGAGAGGTGTTTGGGGTGACTGCAGTGTCAGAGGGTGTTTGGGGTGACTGCAGTGTCAGAGGGTGTTTGGGGTGACTGCAGTGTCAGAGGGTGTTTGGGATGACTGCAGTGTCAGAGAGGGAGGTTTGGGGTGACTGCAGTGTCAGAGGATGTTTGGGGTGACTGCAGTGTCAGAGGGGTGTTTGGGGTGACTGCAGTGTCAGAGGATGTTTGGGGTGACTGCAGTGTCAGAGGGTGTTTGGGATGACTGCAGTGTCAGAGGGTGTTTGGGGTGACTGCAGTGTCAGAGGATGTTTGGGGTGACTGCAGTGTCAGGGGTGTTTTGGGGTGACTGCAGTGTCAGAGGGATGTTTGGGGTGACTGCAGTGTCAGAGGGTGTTTGGGGTGACTGCATTGTCAGGGGTGTTTAGGGTGACTGCTTTGTCAGGGGTGTTTAGGGTGACTGCATTGTCAGAGGGTGTTTGGGGTGACTGCATTGTCAGAGGGTGTTTGGGGTGACTGCAGTGTCAGAGGGTGTTAGGGGTGACTGCAGTGTCAGAGGGTGTTTGGGGTGACTGCAGTGTCAGAGGGTGTTTGGGGTGACTGCAGTGTCAGAGGGTGTTTGGGGTGACTGCAGTGTCAGAGGGTGTTTGGGGTGACTGCAGTGTCAGAGGGTGTTTGGGGTGACTGCAGTGTCAGAGGGTGTTTGGGGTGACTGCATTGTCAGGGGTGTTTAGGGTGACTGCAGTGTCAGAGGGGTGTTTGGGGTGACTGCAGTGTCAGAGGATGTTTGGGGTGACTGCAGTGTCAGAGGGTGTTTAGAGGTGACTGCAGTGTCAGAGGGGATGTTTGGGGTGACTGCAGTGTCAGAGGGTGTTTGGGGTGACTGCAGTGTCAGGGGGTGTTTAGGGTGACTGCATTGTCAGAGGGTGTTTGGGGTGACTGCAGTGTCAGAGGGGTGTTAGGGGTGACTGCAGTGTCAGAGGGTGTTAGGTGTTAGGGGTGACTGCAGTGTCAGAGGGTGTTTGGGGTGACTGCATTGTCAGGGGGTGTTTAGGGTGACTGCATTGTCAGAGGGTGTTTGGGGTGACTGCAGTGTCAGAGGGTGTTAGGGGTGACTGCAGTGTCAGAGGGTGTTTGGGGTGACTGCATTGTCAGAGGGTGTTTAGGGTGACTGCTTTGTCAGGGGGTGTTTAGGGTGACTGCATTGTCAGAGGGTGTTTGGGGTGACTGCATTGTCAGAGGGTGTTTGGGGTGACTGCAGTGTCAGAGGGTGTTAGGGGTGACTGCAGTGTCAGAGGGTGTTTGGGGTGACTGCAGTGTCAGAGGGTGTTTGGGGTGACTGCAGTGTCAGAGGGTGTTTGGGGTGACTGCAGTGTCAGAGGGTGTTTGGGGTGACTGCAGTGTCAGAGGGTGTTTGGGGTGACTGCAGTGTCAGAGGGGTGTTTGGGGTGACTGCATTGTCAGGGGTGTTTAGGGGTGACTGCAGTGTCAGAGGGTGTTTGGGGTGACTGCAGTGTCAGAGGGATGTTTGGGGTGACTGCAGTGTCAGAGGGTGTTTGGGGTGACTGCAGTGTCAGAGGGATGTTTGGGGTGACTGCAGTGTCAGAGGGTGTTTGGGGTGACTGCATTGTCAGGGGGTGTTTAGGTAGACTGCATTGTCAGAGGGTGTTTGGGGTGACTGCAGTGTCAGAGGGTGTTAGGGGTGACTGCAGTGTCAGAGGGTGTTAGGGGTGACTGCAGTGTCAGAGGGTGTTTGGGGTGACTGCAGTGTCAGAGGGTGTTTGGGGTGCTGGAGTGTCTGGTGGTGTGTTTGGGGTGACTGCAGTGTCAGAGGGTGTTTGGGGGTGACTGCAGTGTCAGAGGTGTGTTAGGGTGCTGGAGTTGTCTGGTGGTGTGTTTGGGGGTGCTGGAGTTGTCTGGTGGTGTGTTTAGGGTGCTGGAGTTGTCTGGTGGTGTGTTTGGGGTGCTGGAGTTGTCTGGTGGTGTGTTTGGGGTGCTGGAGTTGTCTGGTGGTGGTGTGTTTAGGGTGCTGGAGTTGTCTGGTGGTGTGTTTGGTGTGCTGGAGTTGTCTGGTGGTGTGTTTGGTGTGCTGGAGTTGTCTGGTGGTGTGTTTGGGGTGCTGGAGTTGTCTGGTGGTGTGTTTGGTGTGCTGGAGTTGTCTGGTGGTGTGTTTGGGGTGCTGGAGTTGTCTGGTGGTGTGTTTGGGGTGCTGGAGTTGTCTGGTGGTGTGTTTGGTGTGCTGGAGTTGTCTGGTGGTGTGTTTGGGGTGCTGGAGTTGTCTGGTGGTGTGTTTGCTGTCATGGTGCTCCTGTGCGTTGGGGAAGTTGTCAAAGAGGTGGGGATGACTGGTTTGCCATATTTTTTCAGTCACAGTTTCAAAACATAGCTCTTATGAACAGAATCACACACTTTTTTCAAGCTCAATATTTGATATTGCTTGAACTGTCAGTTGGGTGTGTCTCACTCACTCACCCACACACACGCCATCCCACGCTTTGTAACGGTATCCCGCCTGAGTGAGGGCATGTATGGTGTAGTTGACACTCAGGTTGTAACAGGGATGCTTGAATGTGGCGGGGCCAGCAGGTCGAACATGAGCACGCTATGCGCTGTAGTTCCTGCCCAATCGTGCAAGCTCCTCCAGTGTAGGCAACGTCTGATTGGCTACATGCCTCCGCTGAGCATCGGTCAAGTCCCGGATGTCCAGAAAGGGTCATTCTGAAGAAAGGTAAAATTGTTGTCAGTGCTTAATTCACATGCTCAACAGTTTCCATGCACAGAATGAAACCTCAGTTGTCTTAACCTCGTTAATCTGTAAACCTGCCTTTGTTGACGATAAATACCTAAACATTTGTTGGCTTGGTGGTGTTCATTTTGACGAGGTTGCTGGAGACTGTCAAGTGTCATAATCTGAATGATTTTACGGGATAACAATGTCCACAGAGTGTCAGTGTGTTATACATAAGCATGAACTTGCTGGAGACAGGCTTGACTTTCAGTATCTCTGTATTTAACAAAACAGTTCCGTAATGGCCAGTTATCAACTAATTAATCTGACCATTTTCAAAAGTTTTGTCAACTCTTAATGAATCTCGATATTTCACCATGTACATAATCTTCTTAATCACCAAACTGTTTATCCAGAGACGTGGTGGCATGGACTATGTCCATATTTGCAATCTTTACATAAATTACAAGAAGGGAGGTAATTCAGTTGAGTTGGTCCAATTGATATATAATGTTGCGCACAGCAATATTCCAGCTATGTAGCAGAAGTCTGTAAATAATTGAGTCTGGATCAGTGACAGTCCAGTGATCAACAGAATGAGCATTGATTGACACAATTGGGAGGGGATGACATGTGTCAACCAAGCAGTCAGCGAGTCTGACCACCAGATCCCAATAGTCGCCTTTACGCACAAGCATGGGTTGCTGAAGACCAATTCTAACCCAGATCTTCACCGGTATTTTCAGTTGAGTAACCACACCTCACAGCAAAGTCACACAGTGAAAGGTGGCTTTCAGTGTTCAGCAAATACTCACTTGTAAAACCACGAGCCAGCATCCAGCCTTTTCAGATCTGACATGTTGAAAGGCAGCGGATCATCATTTACCCGGTCAGGGAAAACTTCTTTAATATTTGTTGTCCTCTCCAAACTCTTGTCATGGAGGATGAAGGGCACACAGTCCAAACTGAAACAGACAGAAGACATCAGTGTTTGTGTGTTTTGTTTGTTGTTCAACACAAGTTTCAGCAATATTCCAGCTTTAGTGCAGTGGTCTGAGTCTCATCAAATCTGTACCAGATCCAGAGATCGATATTGTGAGCAGCTACACATCACAGTATAATGACACTGAGGCTGATTGTTTGGCGTCTCTTCCAAGCAGCATGGATTCGGCCAATTCTAACAATGAATCCCTACTTACATGTAACTGTAAGGCAGATTCTACACCCAGCACAACCAGTCTTCATACACTACAGGTAGAACTGATGACACTTCCAGTGTGTAATACACTAGAGGTAACTGTAAGGCAGATTCTACACCCAGCACAACCAATCTTCATACACGGGTAGAACTGATGACACTTCCAGCTTGTAATACACTCGAGGTAACTGTAAGGCAGATTCTACACCCAGCACAACCAGTCTTCATACACAGGTAGAACTGATGACACTTCCACCTTGTAATACACTCGAGGTAACTGTAAGGCAGATTCTACACCCAGCACAACCAGTCTACATACACAGGTAGAACTGATGACACTTCCACCTTGTAATACACTAGAGGTAACTGTAAGGCAGATTCTACACCCAGCACAACCAGTCTTCATACACAGGTAGAACTGATGACACTTCCACCTTGTAATACACTAGAGGTAACTGTAAGGCAGATTCTACACCCAGCACAACCAATCTTCATACACAGGTAGAACTGATGACACTTCCAGCTTGTAATACACTAGAGGTAACTGTAAGGCAGATTCTACACCCAGCACAACCAATCTTCATACACAGGTAGAACTGATGACACTTCCAGCTTGTAACTACACTAGAGGTAACTGTACAGGCAGATTCTGACACTTCCACCTTGTAATACACTAGCAACTGTAAGGCAGATTCTACACCCAGCACAACCAATCTTCATACACAGGTAGAACTGATGACACTTCCAGCTTGTAATACACTAGAGGTAACTGTAAGGCAGATTCTACACCCAGCACAACCAATCTTCATACACAGGTAGAACTGATGACACTTCCAGCTTGTAATACACTAGAGGTAACTGTAAGGCAGATTCTACACCCACCACAACCAATCTTCATACACACGTGGTAGAACTGATGACTTCTACCAGCTTGTAATACACTAGAAGTAACTGTAAGGCAGATTCTACACCCAGCACAACCAATCTTCATACACGGGTAGAACTGATGACACTTCCAGCTTGTAATACACTAGAGGTAACTGTAAGGCAGATTCTACACCCAGCACAACCAATCTTCATACACAGACAGAACTGATGACACTTCCAGCTTGTAATACACTAGAGGTAACTGTAAGGCAGATTCTACACCCAGCACAACCAATCTTCATACACGGGTAGAACTGATGACACTTCCAGCTTGTAATACACTAGAGGTAACTGTAAGGCAGATTCTACACCTAGCACAACCAATCTTCATACACAGGTAGAACTGATGACACTTCCAACTTGTAATACACTAGAGGTAACTGTAAGGCAGATTCTACACCCAGCACAACCAATCTTCATACACAGGTAGAACTGATGACACTTCCACCTTGTAATACACTAGAGGTAACTGTAAGGCAGATTCTACACCCAGCACAACCAGTCTTCATACACAGGTAGAACTGATGACACTTCCACCTTGTAATACACTAGAGGTAACTGTAAGGCAGATTCTACACCCAGCACAACCAATCTTCATACACAGGTAGTGAACTGATGACACTTCCAGCTTGTAATACACTAGAGGGTAACTGTAAGGCAGATTCTACACCCAGCACAACCAATCTTCATACACAGGTAGAACTGATGACACTTCCACCTTGTAATACACTAGAGGTAACTGTAAGGCAGATTCTACACCCACCACAACCAATCTTCATACACGGGTAGAACTGATGACTCTACCAGCTTGTAATACACTAGAAGTAACTGTAAGGCAGATTCTACACCCAGCACAACCAATCTTCATACACGGGTAGAACTGATGACACTTCCAGCTTGTAATACACTAGAGGTAACTGTAAGGCAGATTCTACACCCAGCACAACCAATCTTCATACACAGACAGAACTGATGACACTTCCAGCTTGTAATACACTAGAGGTAACTGTAAGGCAGATTCTACACCCAGCACAACCAATCTTCATACACGGGTAGAACTGATGACACTTCCAGCTTGTAATACACTAGAGGTAACTGTAAGGCAGATTCTACACCTAGCACAACCAATCTTCATACACAGGTAGAACTGATGACACTTCCAACTTGTAATACACTAGAGGTAACTGTAAGGCAGATTCTACACCCAGCACAACCAATCTTCATACACAGGTAGAACTGATGACACTTCCAGCTTGTAATACACTAGAGGTAACTGTAAGGCAGATTCTACACCCAGCACAACCAATCTTCATACACAGGTAGAACTGATGACACTTCCAGCTTGTAATACACTAGAGGTAACTGTAAAGGCAGATTCTACACCCTAGCACAACCAGTCTTCATACACAGGTAGAACTGATGACTTCCAGCTTGTAATACACTAGAGGTAACTGTAAGGCAGATTCTACACCCAGCACAACCAATCTTCATACACAGGTAGAACTGATGACACTTCCTGCTTGTAATACACTAGAGGTAACTGTAAGGCAGATTCTACACCCAGCACAACCAGTCTTCATACACAGACAGAACTGATGACACTTCCAGCTTGTAATACACTAGAGGTAACTGTAAGGCAGATTCTACACCCAGCACAACCAATCTTCATACACAGGTAGAACTGATGACACTTCCAGCTTGTAATACACTAGAGGTAACTGTAAGGCAGATTCTACACCCAGCACAACCAATCTTCATACACAGGTAGAACTGATGACACTTCCAGCTTGTAATACACTAGAGGTAACTGTAAGGCAGATTCTACACCCAGCACAACCAATCTTCATACACAGGTAGAACTGATGACACTTCCAGCTTGTAATACACTAGAGGTAACTGTAAGGCAGATTCTACACCCAGCACAACCAATCTTCATACACAGGTAGAACTGATGACACTTCCAGCTTGTAATACACTAGAGGTAACTGTAAGGCAGATTCTACACCCAGCACATCCAGTCTTCATACACAGGTAGAACTGATGACACTTCCAGCTTGTAATACACTAGAGGTAACTGTAAGGCAGATTCTACACCCAGCACAACCAGTCTTCATACACAGACAGAACTGATGACACTTCCAGCTTGTAATACACTAGAGGTAACTGTAAGGCAGATTCTACACCCAGCACAACCAGTCTTCATACACAGACAGAACTGATGACACTTCCACCTTGTAATACACTAGAGGTAACTGTAAGGCAGATTCTACACCCAGCACAACCAGTCTTCATACACAGGTAGAACTGATGACACTTCCAGCTTGTAATACACTAGAGGTAACTGTAAGGCAGATTCTACACCCAGCACAACCAATCTTCATACACAGGTAGAGACTGATGACACTTCCAGCTTGTAATACACTAGAGGTAACTGTAAGGCAGATTCTACACCCAGCACAAACCAGTCTTCATACACAGGTAGAACTGATGACACTTCCAGCTTGTAATACACTAGAGGTAACTGTAAGGCAGATTCTACACCCAGCACAACCAGTCTTCATACACAGGTAGAACTGATGACACTTCCAGCTTGTAATACACTAGAGGTAACTGTAAGGCAGATTCTACACCCACCACAACCAGTCTTCATACACAGACAGAACTGATGACACTTCCAGCTTGTAATACACTAGAGGTAACTGTAAAAGGCGGATTCTACACCCAGCACAACCAGTCTTCATGCACAGGTAGAGACTGATGACACTTCCAGCTTGTAATACACTAGGAGGTAACTGTAAGGGCAGATTCTACACCCAGCACAACTCAATCTTCACACAGGTAGAGACTGATGACACTTCCAGCTTGTAATACACTAGAGGTAACTGTAAGGCAGATTCTACACCCAGCACAACCAATCTTCATACACAGGTAGAACTGATGACACTTCCAGCTTGTAATACACTAGAGGTAACTATAAGGCAGATTCTACACCCAGCACAACCAGTCTTCATACACAGACAGAACTGATGACACTTCCAGCTTGTAATACACTAGAGGTAACTGTAAGGCAGATTCTACACCCAGCACAACCAGTCTTCATACTCAGGTAGAACTGATGACACTTCCAGCTTGTAATACACTAGAGGTAACTGTAAGGCAGATTCTACACCCAGCACAACCAATCTTCATACACAGGTGGAACTGATGACACTTCCACCTTGTAATACACTAGAGGTAACTGTAAAGGCAGATTCTACACCCAGCACAACCAATCTTCATACACAGGTAGAACTGATGACACTTCCAGCTTGTAATACACTAGAGGTAACTGTAAGGCAGATTCTACACCCAGCACAACCAATCTTCATACACAGGTAGAGACTGATGACACTTCCAGCTTGTAATACACTAGAGGTAACTGTAAGGCAGATTCTACACCCAGCACAACCAGTCTTCATACACAGGTAGAACTGATGACACTTCCAGCTTGTAATACACTAGAGGTAACTGTAAAGGCAGATTCTACACCCAGCACAACCAATCTTCATACACAGGTAGAACTGATGACACTTCCACCTTGTAATACACTAGAGGTAACTGTAAGGCAGATTCTACACCCAGCACAACCAATCTTCATACACAGACAGAACTGATGACACTTCCACCTTGTAATACACTAGAGGTAACTGTAAGGCAGATTCTACACCCAGCACAACCAGTCTTCATACACAGGTAGAACTGATGACACTTCCAGCTTGTAATACACTAGAGGTAACTGTAAGGCAGATTCTACACCCAGCACAACCAATCTTCATACACAGGTAGAACTGATGACACTTCCAGCTTGTAATACACTAGAGGTAACTGTAAGGCAGATTCTACACCCAGCACAACCAATCTTCATACACAGGTAGAACTGATGACACTTCCACCTTGTAATACACTAGAGGTAACTGTAAGGCAGATTCTACACCCAGCACAAACAATCTTCATACACAGGTAGAACTGATGACACTTCCAGCTTGTAATACACTAGAGGTAACTGTAAGGCAGATTCTACACCCAGCACAACCAGTCTTCATACACAGGTAGAACTGATGACACTTCCACCTTGTAATACACTAGAGGTAACTGTAAGGCAGATTCTACACCCAGCACAACCAATCTTCATACACAGACAGAACTGATGACACTTCCAGCTTGTAATACACTAGGGTAACTGTAAAGGCAGATTCTACACCCAGCACAACCAGTCTTCATACACGGGTAGAACTGATGACACTTCCACCTTGTAATACACTAGAGGTAACTGTAAGGCAGATTCTACACCCAGCACAACCAGTCTTCATACACAGACAGAACTGATGACACTTCCAGCTTGTAATACACTAGAGGTAACTATAAGGCAGATTCTACACCCAGCACAACCAGTCTTCATACACAGGTAGAACTGATGACACTTCCAGCTTGTAATACACTAGAGGTAACTGTAAGGCAGATTCTACACCCAGCACAACCAATCTTCATACACAGGTAGAACTGATGACTCTACCAGCTTGTAATACAGATCTGCTTTAGTCTACAAGATGCAGCAACACAACACAACACACAAGTGAATACTAATGAATTGCGTGTTTTGGTAAACTTACGTCATTGACAGATTACAATTGAAAATTAAAACAACAATGTCTTTATGTTTTAACTAAATGCCTATATGTTCACAATCCAATGCTACGTACAGCCATACATAAACATACATAATTAGGCCCATTTGAATACAGTAATAACTGAGATAAACAGATGTAATTCAACTCATTAAAATTTAGCACCAGACAAGAACAACTAGTCAACCTTCGTTGACTAGAGATTCCCTACAAGGGAAGGGAGGTAACTCTGTGTAATCTGTCTGACTACAGACCGTGTCACAACTGGTTGGGTCTATTATTGTGAAGGGGTGCACCATTGTCAGTTGTTTGTCAACATTTCCGAATAGTCGAGACAGGTGGACCTTTGTCCTAACTTTCTTTAAAAGAGAAGCTTCCGTTTGATGTTTCCGATTCGGACTGTAATGAATCCATGTATGAATGCAACATTAATAACATTCTCTGCTATCCTATTTAATGAAGTTAACTCGACCGGCTTTTTGTGCCATTTGACATTCTGGGTCATGCATATGTAGAGTAGCTCAGGTCAAGCTGAACAAGCTGTAGCATCTCCACAATGAGCGACAAAGTAATATTTTGAAGAAGAATCCAGCCCTGTACATCACATGGCCTGAGCAAAACCTGGGACTCCCCATTCACACATGCCTAGCATCAGCAACTGACATTGTGAGGGACGATTCAAGCACACAGTCTCTTCTTAAAGACATAGTGAGGATCTGTTTGAGAAAAACAGTTTCGGACGGAGGATGTTACACTCACCTGAGCTGCACGTCACTCTCCACGCCGTACATGCCATCCTGGTAAGCAAAGTCATATGCCATCAGGGTATTCTCGGGTAAAATCTATAAACAGGAAAGGTATGTATCTTAGAAACCTTGCTGCACTTGCGTTACTCTCCACGCCATACACGCCATCCTGGTAGGCAAAGTCATATGCCATCAGGGTATTCTCGGGTAAAATCTACAAACAGGAAAGGTATGTATCTTAGAAACCTTGCTGCACTTGCGTTACTCTCCGCGCCATTACCACGGCATCCTGGTAGGCAAAGTCATATGCCATCAGGGTATTCTCGGGTAAAATCTATAAACAGGAAAGGTATGTATCTTAGAAACCTTGCTGCACTTGCGTTACTCTCCGCACTGCCCGCACACCATCCTGGTAGGCAAAGTCATATGCCATCAGGGTATTCTCGGGTAAAATCTACAAACAGGAAAGGTATGTATCTTAGAAACCTTGCTGCACTTGCGTTACTCTCCACGCCGTTACCGCGCGGCATCCTGGTAAGGCAAAGTCATATGCCATCAGTGTATTCTCGGGTAAAATCTACAAACAGGAAAGGTATGTATCTTAGAAACCTTGCTGCACTTGCGTTACTCTACACGCCGTACACACCATCCTGGTAGGCAAAGTCATATCCCATCAGTGTATTCTCGGGTAAAATCTACAAACAGGAAAGGTATGTATCTTAGAAACCTTGCTGCACTTGCGTTACTCTCCACGCCGTACACACCATCCTGGTAGGCAAAGTCATATCCCATCAGTGTATTCTCGGGTAAAATCTACAAACAGGAAAGGTATGTATCTTAGAAACCTTGCTGCACTTGCGTTACTCTACACGCCGTACACACCATCCTGGTAGGCAAAGTCATATCCCATCAGTGTATTCTCGGGTAAAATCTACAAACAGGAAAGGTATGTATCTTAGAAACCTTGCTGCACTTGCGTTACTCTACCGCCGCACGCATTACACACCATCCTGGTAGGCAAAGTCATATCCCATCAGTGTATTCTCGGGTAAAAATCTACAAACAGGAAGGTATGTATCTTAGAAACCTTGCTGCAGCTCGCGTTACTCTCCACGCCCGTTACCGCGCCATCCTGGTAGGCAAAGTCATATGCCATCAGTGTATTCTCGGGTAAAATCTACAAACAGGAAAGGTATGTATCTTAGAAACCTTGCTGCACTTGCGTTACTCTACGCCGCACACACACACCATCCTGGTAGGCAAAGTCATATCCCATCAGTGTATTCTCGGGTAAAATCTACAAACAGGAAAGGTATGTATCTTAGAAACCTTGCTGCACTTATGCGTTACTCTACACGCCCATTAAAGGTCACACCATCCTGGTAGGCAAAGTCATATCCCATCAGTGTATTCTCGGGTAAAATCTACAAACAGGAAAGGTATGTATCTTAGAAACCTTGCTGCAGCTGCGTTACTCTCCACGCCGTACACGCCATCCTGGTAGGCAAAGTCATATGCCATCAGTGTATTCTCGGGTAAAATCTACAAACAGGAAAGGTATGTATCTTAGAAACCTTGCTGCAGCTGCGTTACTCTACACGCCGTACACACCATCCTGGTAGGCAAAGTCATATCCCATCAGTGTATTCTCGGGTAAAATCTACAAACAGGAAAGGTATGTATCTTAGAAACCTTGCTGCAGCTGCGTTACTCTCCACGCCGTACACGCCATCCTGGTAGGCAAAGTCATATGCCATCAGTGTATTCTCGGGTAAAATCTACAAACAGGAAAGGTATGTATCTTAGAAACCTTGCTGCAGCTGCGTTACTCAACACGCCGTACACACCATCCTGGTAGGCAAAGTCATATGCCATCAGTGTATTCTCGGGTAAAATCTACAAACAGGAAAGGTATGTATCTTAGAAACCTTGCTGCAGCTGCGTTACTCTCCACGCCGTACACACCATCCTGGTAGGCAAAGTCATATGCCATCAGTGTATTCTCGGGTAAAATCTATAAACAGGAAAGGTATGTATCTTAGAAACCTTGCTGCAGCTGCGTTACTCAACACGCCGTACACGCCATCCTGGTAGGCAAAGTCATATGCCATCAGTGTATTCTCGGGTAAAATCTACAAACAGGAAATGTAATTTTTTGAGTAAAATTGATATTTTATACTTATCCTGACTCATGCTCTTTTTGCTTGTCTCCTTCCTCTTGCGAACATAGTGGAACACTTGTATCTCCCTAATTGAAGTTCCCTTCAATGTAAAATCACTAATTAGTACACCACGAGTTACCTCCCTTCCACAAGCGCGGGAACGAGGGCGCCACCTCTACCCATGTGCCTCACTCTCTCCTCATATACTGAGCCCAACATTTGAATTTACAGGGAAATCCAAAGTGTTATTTGGGGAGGATGGGAGGGCTGACCTCATGAGTCAGGATAAGTATAAAATATCAATTTTACTCAAAAAATTACATATTTTTCCTTATCCTGACTCATGCTCTTTTGCTTGTAGAATCCAACAGAGCGGAGGTGGGAATATATAATACTTTGGATTTTAATAATTAGTGATTTGAACTGTGATGATTGTAATAACCCTATGGGAACTTCATAAAGGCATTGAACTGATGAATTCCTGCTGCCAGCTTATCAGCTGCCATATAGAGGTTATTACAATGTACTTCTATTATGATAAGTATATATAATATTAATACAATGCTTAAGACTAATAGACTTAAGCTTGTTAATATCTTAGTATAAACTCCTTAGAGTTTGTTAGCTAAAATACTTTAAGATATATAAACATAGCACTAAGCTTAAAATATGATTAATTTTAAGCTAATTATATAATAACAAACCTCTTTAGGGTTTGTTAGTTAAAATATTTATATGATATAGACAGTGCTGAGCTTAAGATATGAATAGGTTGCGTGGCACATTGACCGCATTATGTAGGCAGAAAGTGACCCATGACTTGTGTTGAGACCTGCCTGGAAGTCAAGGCGTCCTTGTAGAGATGTTGAAAGATACAGACCAAAGAGGTCTTGGATTCAGGAACAATAGGAAATGCCCCCTTATATTGAACACTGCAGTATTAAGGAAGGATAACAATATATGGGTGAACAAACTCTTCATTGCAGTGAGAATGACATTTTGGTGTAGGGTCTAACACTGCTATCAAGCAAGTGATGAACAGAATGAGGATAGAGAAGCATATGTACAAGTTTGAGGAGAGATGTTTGTACAGTAATGTTGAACACTGTAGTATTTAGTTTTCCATAAGACTAGTCACAAGGACTAATGAAATATTCTTAATAGTTGCCCTCGACATTGTAGGAAGTATTGTTGATTGAAACAAAACTGTTTACAATGTGTACATATTCCATCAGTTTTATTTAGTTCTAATTTGTAGCAAAACTGAGCCTTCAGAGCTGGTTCAGTATAACCCCCTCAGATGCTATGTCAATTGACTACTAATCTCACAGTCCCTGAACTATAGTAATTTCCTTCTGCCCAACCTCTTTCTGCAGGGCTGTGCCTTGAAGGAAGCAAGTCTAGATTTCCCTCAGCAGTAATAGGACATTGGTTCCTGTAAGTTTCAGATGTCTGTCCTGACCCACTGAAAATTCACAGGTCCCATAGAATAAAAAATTAACACACATTTTCAGATTTAACATTTCTTATAATTGGCATTGATATTTATCTACAAACAATAAATTTATAAACAGCAAACAAGTGACATGTCACATATGACAACTTCAGTCAAAGTCATTGGCTGAAATATACAGTCAGACATTGTGGCGAAGCAGGTTGTAGACTTCCACTGGACCGTCTCGCTGGGCCCTGCCTGGATTTGTCAGAGGGTCAGACATTATTCGTGAACACTGCCTCAGATTCTGAATTTCCTACAGGCTCCTTTTTGATAAAAAGGGAGTTATTGCTTCTATCAAATTATATATATTCAGAGGTGAAGTGTTAGTTGTGGACCACCATCATCAGACTTTTTTTTTCTGCTCTGCACAATTTAGTAGTCCAGTGTGACTTTCAAAGGTTGTGCATGTGCTTAAAATGAATAAAACCCAGCTTATTTGAATAATTGTTCCATCAAATATTTTTTTAATAGTTTCAGGGTGTTAACAATTCCTGTGAAAGTGTAGATGATGAGCCTCCACAACGAAGTTGAATCAGTTGTCTCATTACGTGGCTAACAGTGAACATAATGAGACACATCTGTGAAATGAGCGAATCGCTTGCCCTCCTCTCATCACACTCACAGGTCAGAGCACACACAGCTAATGAGGCCATTAATAGCCTGCAAAGGGAGATAACCCTTTGTTAAAGACAACCTCACATGTAGATAACTGTGAATCATTAAACAAAAGCAGAGACTTCCTGAACCATTGATCCATCTTTTAAATAAAAAGTAAACAACAGATGGTATATAATGATATGTGTCATCACTCGTTTCAGAAACCAATCTGATGGGTTACTCTGAAGCCATATCACTGTCAAGTGGGTGTGGCACATGGAGACAACATGAAGGCAGAAAGTGACCAATGACTTGTGTTAAAACTTGTGTCAGCAAACAAGACTGTCAAGCAATAGAAAGTATACACTTGAAAATTAGATTTGATCATTCAATTACAAACATTATCAAAACAGTTATAAACACTGTAAACTATGCAGGTCCAAAAACTCAACTATAACACATGAATCTGATACACTTGTCAGCTTCCATCACTGTTCACCATCACTCAACATGGTTGCATAATTCCTTGAACAGTTTGTGGGCCTCAAAACATAGAATGTAGCAATAGCATTGATATATTGCAACATTTCACAACTCTTCTCACATCACAAACCCCTCATGTATTTCAATGTAAGTAAAGTGTGTTGGTCCGCTTGTTTGTTGCTTAACGCCAAGAGACTCAGCAATATTCCAGCTATATGGCGACGGTCTGTAAATAATGAAGTCTGGACCAGATAATCCAGTGATAAACAGCATGTGCATGGATCTACACAATTGGGAAACGGTGACATGTGTCAACCACGTCCAGTGAGATTGACCACCCATTCTTGTTAGCTTGCATCATTTGAACTTAATTAGTTCACATCTAAATCTCAGAAACAAACTTTTAGTCGGTGTATGGTTTTAATCTGTGTTACTCAAGTGTTACCGGGCATGAAGACACTCCCAACCCTTTACAGACTTCTGAAGACTTGATTACTTGGTATAAGACACTCAACCCCTACAGACTTCTTGTGACTTGATTACTTGGTATAAGACACTCAACCCCACACAGACTTCTTGTGACTTGATTACTTGGTATAAGACACTCAACCCTTACAGACTTCTTGTGACTTGATTACTTGGTATAAGCTACACACTCAACCCTACAGACTTCTTGTGACTTGATTATTTGGTATAAGACACTCAACCCTTACA